AAAAGAAAAAAGCTGGAAGTGGCGCTGTGGCTCAAGTGGTAGAGCACTAGCCTTGAGCTGAAGAGCTGAGGGACAGTGCCCAGGCCCAGAGTTCGGGCCCCACGACCGGACCCAAAAAGAAAAAAGAAGGAGGAGGAGGAGAAGAAGAAAGGATTCAGGACAGGGCGATGCTTTGTCAGAATCACAGCAAGTGGCAGAGCCAGGACTGGAGTCCAATTCTGTGTCCGTCCGTTCAAATAGTTGTTCAGCCATCAGCCAGTGATTATCGGCCAGTGGGAAACACGCAAAGTGTTTCATTCAGTACTGAGTCTTCCAGTACTCCTAATAATAAAGCCTCCCAGCCTCTGTGGTCTCCATTGACTTCCACAACAGCTTAGACTGTCTGGCAGGGTCTGTGATACAGCTGCATGGGACCCACAGCTGAAGCACTTTCTGGAGGTGACAGGCTGGGAATCTACCTGGGAGATGAGATTGCATACAATTCCTAGGACTTGCTCCTCGGGCTGTTTCATAAGATTTCTACGTGGGTGGGGTTGCTGCTTTTCCTGTTGCATATGAAGACAGGGAAGGGAAGGGGACCTGGCAGTTGGCCTGGCCCCATGAGCTGTGCCCCCTCCTGCCCCCCAAACCCAGGACCTCAGTCAGGCAGCCTCCAAGAGGAGGTGGCTCACTGGGAAAAAATGCTGGTGGAGCCAAGCCCTGGTGGCTCATGCCTGTAATCCTAACTATTCAGGAGGCTGAGATCAGAGGATCACAGTTTGAAAAGAGCTTAATTAGAAAAGTCCACAAGACACCATCTCCAGTTAGCCAGAAAAAAGCCACGTTAGCAGCGTGGCTCAAGCAGTAGAGTGCTAGCTGAGCCAGTGAACTGAGTAATAAGCCCAGGGAAGGAAAGGAGGGAAGGAAGGACAAAACGCTGATGGCTGGAGACTCAGCAACCCTGGTAGCATCTGTAGTGTGTCTGTCACTGAGTATGCTCAGGACTTGCTGTCCCTAATACCTCTTCTGTCTGTCCCTTCCTACGCCACATCAATAAATGCCTGGGAGCCCAGCACTCAGACTGAGGCGGGAAGATCTCAAGGTTGGGGCTAGCCTGGTCTACATAGCAAGACTGGGCTTCCAACGGCAAAGCAGAGGGCCCTGTGTAGAGGACGGGCCATCTGTGGTAACAGAGGGCAGCAGGAGTTGCTTCTCTCTGTACCCCAAGCTTAGAACACTGGGGAGCTTGAGGAGGGGCTGGGAGGACTCTCCGTGGGGCACAAGCCCTCCTGAACTGGCAGGCTCCAAGAAGCTTGGGGCACCTCTCCTGCCATCATCCCATTCTTCACAGCACCCCACCTCCATCTCCTGCCCCTGCTCCCCCTGACTCACCCAGCCTTCCCTGTTTTGTCTCCTATGGTGCCCAGGGAACAGCCAGGTGACTCCGTTTGGCACTGTGCCGCTGGCCGCTGCCAGCCAACCCACCAGCCTTACAGACGTGGGCAGCCTCCTGGGACCGGGGGTGGCAGCTGGAGGGGTTCCTGGCAGGTGGGTGCAGACATGGAGGGGACTTGCCTTATGGCCAGCCATGCTTTTTTTTTTTTTGGTCATAGTGCTTGAACTCGGCCTGGGCCCCATCCCTGAGCTCTTCAGCTCAATGCAAGCACGCTGCCTCTTGAGCCACAGCGCCACTTCTGGTTTTCTGGTGGTTCATTGGAAATAAGAGTCTCACAGACTTTCCTGCCCGGGCTGGCTTTGAACTGTGATCCTCAGATCTCAGCCTCCTGGGTAGCTAGGATTACAGGCGTGAGCCACCGGCGCCTGGCTCCAGCCATGCTTTTGTAGCGGGTCCCCCTTCCTGGACTGCTTGCCTCCCCCTTGCTCCCTGGTCCTAGAAGATAGGCACCCCACTTTTCTCCCTGTGCTGCAGTATCTTCGGGGTGACAGGCCAGCTCCCCTCACTGCAGTCTGCCACGGCCGTCGGCAACACAGGACTTGCCTTTGGAGGTGAGTGCACGGTGGGGGGGGCAGGAGGGGAGTGGAGGGATGGATGGGGAGAGGCACTCCATTTGTCCAGGGATGTTTACAAACCTCTCTCTTCTTGTTCTCCGGACAGCATTCACCAATCCCTTCACTGCCCCCACCGCCGCCCAGCCCCAGCTACCTTCCACCAACCCATTCCAGCCCAATGGTCTGGCTCCAGGTAAGCCAACAGCCCTGTCCCCTTCCACAGTCTTTCCCTAACTCTTGTTTCTCCCCATCACAGGAGTGGCTGGCACCCCCACTCCCAACTGGCCACTCTTCACCAACCCAGGCCACAGCCATTTTCATTTCCAGGCCATATAGTGGGTAGAAGTAGAAGCAGCCACTGATGCCAGTAGCTCACGCCTCTAATCCCAGCCACTCAAGAGGTTGAGATCTTGAGGATTGCGGTTTGAGGTCAGCCCAGGCAAGAAAAATTTATGAGACTCATCTTCAATTCACCACCAAAAAGCCAGAAGTAGAGCTGTGGCACAAGTGGTAAAGTGCTAGCCTTGAGTGAAAAAGCCATGCAAGAATACAAGGCCCCGAGTTAGAGCTACCAGTGCGGGCACACACCAAAAATAAAATAGAAGAAAATAAACATGGAAACACCTGTGAAACAAGCATTTTAGACTCAGAAAAAGACAAGATGGCTCTCGTCCCTTTCTTCCACCAGTCCAGAAGATTGTTTTCATGTTGACCAACAACAGTGCAACAGTTCTATCTCCAGCTCTATCCAGGTCCCTCTTGGCACCCAGACCAGGGGCCTGAGTGAAACCTTAAACCTATTCCCTGCCCTGGTCAGCAAGGATTTGTGTCCCCTCTGCCCAGCCCCTTCCCCCTCCCCTGTTCCACCCCTCTCCCCCCCAGCCTCTGTTTTGTCTTCTCAAACTCCTGGTTCAGCAAGAGGAGAGCTGGGTATGGTGGTATATGCCTGTAATTTCAGCTACTTAAGAGGCAGAGGTAGAAGGATCTCTGTCAGGCTGGCCTACGCAAAATTGTGAAACTATATTTTTAAAAAAAAAATTTTTTTAGGCCGGGCGCTGGTGGCTCACGCCTGTAATCCTAGCTACTCAGGAGGCTGAGATCTGAGGATCCAGGTTCAAAGACAGCCCGGGCAGGAGAGACCGTGAGACTCCTATCTCCAATAAACCACCAGAAAACCGGAAGTGGCGCTGTAGCTCAAGTGGTAAAGCGCTCCCTTGAGCTGAAGAGCTGAGGGACAGCGCCCAGACCCAGAGTTCAAGCCCCACGACCGACAAAAAAAAAAAAAACCCTGAGTTCCAAAAAAGGAAGAAAAAAATACTTAAAAAGAAAAGGGGAGCTGGGCGCCGGTGGCTCATGCCTATAATCCGTAGCTACTAAGGAGGCTGAAATCTGAGGATCAGAGTTCAAAGCCAGCCTGAGCAGGATCATCCATGAGACTTGTGTCTTCAATAAACCACCAGAAAACCAGAAATGGCTCAAGTGGTAGAGCGCTTGTCTTGAGCTGAAGAGCTCAGGGACAGTGCCCGGGCCCAGAGTTCAAGCCCCATGACTGACAAAAAAAAAAAGGTGTGGGGAGGGAGCTAAGTGCATTTTCACATAGGGTTTATGGATCGCCATATGCCTGCTGCAGAGGTGAAAGAGGCGGACACAGGGTCACCTGTTCGGTTTCAGAGGCGGCAGAAGGCTGCCCTCAATTCTTTATTTCTTTTTTTTTTTTTGGTACCAGTTCTGGGCACTGTCCCTTAGCTTTTTCACTCAAGACTGGTGTTCAACCACTTGGGCCACAGTTCCGCTTCTAGCTTTTTGGTGGACATAAGAGTCTCAAGGACTCTCTTCCCTGGGCTGGCTTTGAACCATGAACCGTGGGTCTCAGCCTCCTGCGTAGCTGGGATGACAGATATGAGCCCCAGCACCCAGCTGCAGCTCCAGTTCTCTGTCATGCCATATTCATAACGACTGCCTTCAGCACCACCAGCCCCACGGGCAGATGGATGGTGGAGTCTATTAGCTGATGAGCTCCACAGTGCATTCCAAGTCCTTCCACTGGAGCCTCTTGTTAGGAAAAAATCCTATACCTCATTTCCCATTGGGAAGGATTTAGGCAGCCAACCTGCCAGACGTTTTGCCTGACCTTCCATCTCTTTACAGGGCCTGACTTTGGGATGAGCACTGCCGGGCCTGGCTTCCCCCAGCCAGTGCCGCCCGCTGGAGCCTTTGCCAGTCCCTTCCCCCCACCGTTGTACCCCGCACAGACCTCACTGACACACAAGAATGGTAAGCCTTTTGATGTGCCCTCCCTTACTCCCAGCTCCCCACCTGTGTGTGTATGAACCCCAGAATCTGTAATACCTAACACAATATAAATGTTCTGTTGTCGTGTGGAGGGTCTAATGATGAGGAAAGACGATCTGTACATATTTAGTACACACAGAAATTAAAAAAAAAAAAAAAAAAAACCCTTCAATCCATGGTTGGCACTCACACAGGCCTCTGAGCCAATTCCCTCTGTGACCAGTAGAGGGAGCAAGGGAGCAGCCGATCTGCCCCTTCTTGACAGCTCCATACCCTGGCTGTCCGGCTGAATAGAGCAAGTGCCTGTCCTCCAGGAAGTCGGGCCTGTTGGGAGGGGGTGGTGTGTGAAAACAGTAGGAGGGGTCCCAGATGTCACCTGAGTGATTTCTCTGCCCCCAGGCTCTTCCTTCGTGGACTTAGGATCCTCAAAATTGGGGCAGAGGCCGCTGAGCCAGCCAGCTGGAATCTCCACCAACCCCTTCATGGTGAGCACCAGGTGTGGGTGTGTGATGTTGGGGACCAAATCCTAGAAGCGGAAACTGTGAACTGGAACTCCACCCCTTACCTTCTTCACGGAGTTCTGTATTGTCCTAGCCAGGGATGAGCTGGTCCATTCTGGGGTGTCAGTTCTGGGCTCTGTCACCTCCAACCCTTTTCCTACCTTCTTCCCCCTCAACATCCTTCTTTCCCCAGCTTGGAAGTTTGTTTTTGTTTGTTTGCTTTTTGTTTTTGTACTAGTACTAGGGCTACCACGCATGGTCTGGCCATTGTCCCTTAGTGCTTTTTCCCTCAAGGCTGGTGCTCTACGACTTGAGCCACAGCTCTACTTTCAGCTTTTTGCTAGTTAGTTGGAGATAATCTCATGGACTTTCCTGCCCAGACTGTCTTCAAACCATGAACTTTATAATCTCAGCCTCCTGACTAGCTAAGATTACAGATGTGAGCCATAGCACCCAGCCCAGCATGTTCTTTTGAATGTATTTGTTTCTTCGCTGCCTCCAGCAATTCTCCACTTATGTAATAATGTTTTGTTGTTTCTTTCCAGACTGGATCTTCACCGTTTACCTCCAAACCTCCCACCACCAATCCATTCTTGTAGCACTGTGTCCCGTGGGAGGCTCTTCCCTGCTTTCTGGGGTGCCTCTGCTCCCTGGAGCTCTGGCGACCATTTGCCTGTGGGCATATCTGTGGGTCTTAGACAAGAATGAGCCTGATTTGCAGGGGGCCTGGGGAATGGGGGAGGTGCTAATGTTTTGCTTAGGGCTTCCAGAAGACTCAAATCCAGAATCTTCCCTGAAGCTGCCTCCCTCCTCCACCAGCCCCCACCCAGAGGGACTCCAGGGAGAAGTGAAGGCAGAGCTGGTCTAGAGGAAGTACAGTAGTGTATTTCTTATCAAATGATTCTTTTATTTTTGTGCCAGTCCTGGGGCTTGAACTCAAGGCCTGGGCACTGTCCCTTACCCTTTTCACTCAAGGCTGACACTTTTAACCACTTGAGCCACAGCTCTACTTCTGGCTCTTTGGTGGCTCATTGGAGATTGAGAGTCTCATAGACTTTCCTACCCGCGCTGGCCTCAAACTACAATCCTCAGGTCTCAGCCTCCTGAATAGCTAGGATTACAGACATACACCACATGCGCCAGGCTGTTGAATTATTAATGATGATGATAACTTTTCTCTCCTGCCCCTGGCACACACATACCTGATGATGCTTCTTTCACTCTGGACCAACAGGAAGTTGGCATGACCTGACTGGGCAGGAAAGAGTGCTTCCCAGCCTTCCAACACTGTGTTCCCCCCAGCCAGTACAGGGAAGAAAGTAAAGACAAGGTGTTTGTTGACGTTGATGGTGGTGAGACCAGAGCTGAGAAGGCCAGTGTCTGGTACCTTTCGTGCCCAGTTGAGCATCACCCTTTTTCACCCGTGTTGTTTTGCTTCGCCAGCTTCTGCCATCCTGGCGCTCAGGATGCATAGCTTTACTTGAAGGTTCCACATGCAGAGCTCCCTCCAAGCACTTTAGTCAGCTATTGGTGTCGTGTTTGGATACCAGTGTTTTATATTTATACATAAAGAGAATTTTCTAATATAGCCTATTATATATGCACATATATATATATATATATGTACACACACATGCACACCCTAGCCATTATCTCTCCGTCAGCTGCTGCTTTTTTTTTTTTTTTTTGGTGCCAGTACTGGGGCTTGAACTCAGGGCCTGGGAGCTGTCCTTGAGCTTTTTCTACTCAAGGCTAGCACTCTACCACTTGAGCCACAGCTCCACTTCCAGTTTCCTGATGATTAACTGGAAATAATAGTTTCACAGACTTTCCTGCCTGGGCTGGCTTTTGAGTCATGATCTTCAGATCTCAGCCTCCTGAGTAGCTATGATGACAGGCACGAGCCACCAGCGCCCAGTTCCAGCCAATTTGTAAACATGGAGAAGGGGATAAACCCCTGATCTATGTCTGGACCATGAAAGTGGGAACCCCACGGAAGGGGGAAGGGCAAATGTGTATCCTCGCCACCCCAGAGCTTCTCCAGGAAGAGATTTGTGCAATTGGTTGGGTCTTTTCTTTCCCCCTATGTTCTCTTTTTCCACATTTTCCTTCTTCCCTTCTCTCCCCCAAATCTGCACCAAAGCTCATCGCAGGCAATGTTGAAAAAGAACTACATTTGAAAGAAAAGGTGACGCAGGAGTCTTGCTTGGGGCCACCTTGAGGGGCCACAGGTCAGCTCAACGTGACTGAGTGTTGGCTAAGTTCTGCTGGACTGGGCTGATGACCAAAGCAGACTGGCCAAGGACAGGACCCAGTGGCAGGCAGAACCTGGGGCCCTGAGCCTGGAGAGCTGCCCTGCTGGGGTTGGATCCCAGTACCATGGTGGGGTGGGGGTGTGGCAGGTGCTACGTGGGGAACAGACTGGACCAATGCATGGATCCACACCTTCACACATTTCCACTTGACGCTTTCAGAAAATAACCAGGTGTCTGGGCAATGAGTCTGGCGACAAGACAGAGGTATGGGGCAAATACCTCCCCTCCCCCCGCAGAGGAAAGACCTAGAACTCAAGCCACAGGCTCTGGCCTTTAGCCGTTCATTCTTGACATTTCTCTGGGCCTCCTGTAGAAAACAGCAAAGGAATGTGAGGGGTTGGGGCCTTCCGTTTCTTTCCTTCACTGACTTTTCTGGAAAGATCTTTAGCTGCTATTTGGCCAGCCAAGTTTGTGCTTCCCTGATGCCAAGAGTTGTCCCCATCTGGTTCACCCAGCCTCTCCCCTCCTTCCCTCTCCTGGCGGGGGAGGGTGGGTCTGCACCCTTTGTTCTCTGGCTTTCTTTCCCATACTCTTCCCCTTCTGGTATTTTTCTCTGCCATCTGCTACCCTTGGTGTGGTGCTAGCACCCTATTTCCCTTCTCTCTTAGGGAATGGAGTGGATCCTGATCTGTGCCTGGGCCATCAAAGCCAGAATGCCAAGGGTGTAGGAAGCTCAGCAGTGTGTCCACCCCAGAGCCTCCTTCCTTCTTTCCTAACCCAGAGCACTGAGGCCCACAGGGGTCAGGAGCTGAGGCAGCTTTCGCCGTTTTGGTCATAAGCCATGTTCCAGAGACTTCTCCCTCCCTGGGCCTAGGACTCCTTGCAGCCTCTAGTCCCTCTGTCCGACATGGACTCAGGCCAGCTCACTGGCCAGGGCTGGAGGACCAGTCCCAAGTTGCACTGGGCCGGTTTCACAGGGCAGAAATGCGAAATGTTTCCCTGGGCACCGCCTGAGCTGCAGCCCGCAGCTGCCCTCCTTGGCACAGGCAGCCCCAGCCCCCTCCACCTCCACTCATGGTCAGTGGCAAAAGAACTGGGAAAGGTCCCTGGTCTGACACAAAGTGGCTAAAGGACTGGATTGGTTTCTTTGCTGCGTGGCCTGGCCTGGGGTTTGCAGATCTAAGCCCACTGTATGTAGGCACATGCGCACCACGAGACTGGAAGTGACTCACCCGAGCCTGTATCAGACTCCTGGCCAAGTTCTTCCCTTACCACATGCCTCGGGCCAAGGCTGTGGTCACGTTCTGCAGATGACAGTCCAGTCTTCAACTGACCACCTGTATAGGTGCTTCAAGTGAGGAAGAAAGTGTAGCCCCAGGAGTCTGTCTGCACAGCCTACCAAATCCGATCTAAGAGCCATAGGCTGAGAGGGAGAAGGGATCACTGTGTGGCTCTGTGCCCACATGCCCTCCACAGAGAAGTGAGAGGTCACATGGGACAGCCCAGGTCCCTGTGGCTTCCTACCCCTGGTAACATTCTTCCAATGGCAGTCTATGGCTGCTATTGGAGTGGTGGCTTGCTCCTGTAACCATGGCTATTCAGGCGGCTGGGAGCTGACAATCCTAGCTCAAAACCAGCCTTGGCAGCTGGGCACTGGTGGTTCACACCTCTAATCCTAGCCACTCAGGAGCCTGAGATCTGAGGATCTCGGTTCAAAGCCAGCCCGGGCAGGAAAGTCTGTGAAATTTTTATCTCCAATAACCCTCCCCCTCCCACATCAGAAAACCGGAAGTGGCGCTGTAGCTCAAGTGGTAGAGCGCTAGCCTTGAGCTGAAGAGCTAAGGGACAGTGCTCAGGCCCAGAGTTCAAGCCCCACGATCAAAAAACAAAAAACCATCCTTGGCAAACAAATCTAAGAGACTTATTCTCCAATTAACCAGCAAAAAGCTGCAAGTGGAGCTGTGACTTAAATAATAGAGCACCAGCCTTGAGCATAAAAAAGCAAGCCCAAGCTCCAGGCCCCAGATTTAAGCCCCAATTACAGACACACCCACAAACATGCATGCATGAATGCACACACATGCACAAGATTCTTCCATTGGGATATAGGATGTATTGTCCTGGACCTTGCACACAATGCAAAGGTAGAAAGGAAGGGGACTGCTAGCAGAGCTGAGGCTCTGAAACTTCTTGTCCCTGGAGAATTATGTGAGTTACCAGGACTATCAGCTATATTAATCTTGTCTGGATAGGATGGAGGGCAGTATTGCTAGGGCAACTGATAGAAGCCAGGCTTTTTCCTGGTACCTGAGGAAGTCATATCACCTGGTTCTGTTTACTATTGCTCCCCCCCACACACACACACCTTCTGTTTGTCTACACTCCCAGCACTGGAATTGCTACCGCTTCCTGCTTTATCTTTTACCCAGCACCTCAGGGCAGGATGACACAAAGTTGTTTGCAGCTGTCTCCGAAAGCAGCTGTGATTTCACAAGGACAGGTGTTGAAAGATCATCCGACTGAGGGAGGCAGGAAGAGAAGGCAGGATGAGGCACTTGGCCAGCTTCAAATCAAGCTTGGGGGAATAAGGCTTCCAGCCCCTAGAGCACCAAGGGCCAGAGCCCTGCAGACATCCTGTTCCTTGAGGTGGCTGCTGTGAGACAGGGAGGCGCTGACATCTTGCACACGTAAGCCCCAGGGCCTTGAATGTTTGGGTGATTGATCAGGCATCCATCATATACCCTTAGACAGGCACCATGGCCATCCCTGCACCCAGGGCTGGGCCCTGGGTGGTACTTTAGCTAAAAAGTACCTGGATCAGGCCCTGGGTACCAAATACCCATCCCTGGGGTGCTGGTTGATTCTGCCCTCGATATGGCCTTTGGAAACGTGTTAGGGGATCCCAGCTCCTTACCCCAGGGAGCCCTTAGGCACTAACCTCTCCAGCAGTGGCCACCACTTGGCCTCTTTCCTAGACCATCAGTTTCTCCCAGCAGGAATCCTGCATGCCATGGGGATGGGTCATGGCTAGTGCCATGCTGTGTGTCTACTGCGGCTTGTCTGGAAAAATGTGCCCTGGCTAATGCCACCCCGGTCCAAACCAAGCCAGTATTCCTGGGCTCGGAATGAAGGTGGGAAAAAAAAATGTCCGGTGCTGTCCAAACTTTCAGGATGCAAGACGCCCTCCACAAAGCAGAGCCCGCGTTTTGGCTCTCAGAACTTTGAGCTGGTTCCGGGTGGTGAGGAGGGGCTGACCCAAAAGTTTATCCTAAGACATCTCACACCCGGATCCCCTGGGGAGGGGGATGGGAACGGCCTGAAACTCCGACTTTAGCCCCCCCATCAGCAGCCACGACTGGCAGGGGGCATGCGATCAGACCTGGGGAAGGGGGGAGGGGAGCGGCCGGTACACAGAGAACCGACGCCTGGAGGCCCAGGGGGCTGGAGGGACTGTGACAGTGGCGGCCGGGGCCACCTCTAATCGTTAGCTCCCTCGTCTTTGGGTCGCGTTCTCAGGCAGGCGTGGCCCTCCACCCCCGCGGCCCGGCCGCCCATTGGTGGAGATGACCCCGTGCTCCCCGCCCCTCCGAAGACTCGGTCCCTAAGGTGCTGGTGGCCGGGTCAGATCCCGGCCCGGGCTGAGGATGGCCCCCCAGCAGGGGAGGTGGGGACTCGAGCCGCGGCCGGCTGGAGGCGCCCTGGGCCGGCCTTAGAAGTCCAGGTGTCCTAGACCGGGGAGGTTGCCTCGACTTCCAGCGGGGGACAGAAGCCGGCCGGGTGGTCACGGGCCGGGGCGCCGCGCCCGACGGCACCGCCCCATCCCCGGAGCAGCCGCGCAGAGCCACCCTTCCTCGGCCCCTGCTTCATTCGCCGTGGCTCGGGGATGGAGCCGGCGAGCAGCGGCCCCGCGTC